TTTAATAGAGAAATGTACCAAAAGAACCAAACTGAAAGATAGGTAGATAGATAGATAGATAGATAGATAGTTAGATAGATGATAGATATAGGATAGATAGATGAGATAGATATATAGATAGATAGATAGATGAGATAGATAGATAGCATCGCTCGCTCGCTCCGCGCCTAGCTCGCTAGATCGATAGCTATCGCTCGCTCGCCTAGCTAGCTCGCTAGCTCGCTCGCATCGCTCGCTCCTCGCTCGCTCGCTCGCTCGCTCGCTCGCTCGCTCGCTCGCTCGCTCGCTCGCCTCGCTCGCTCTCTCGCTCGCTCGCTCGCTCGCTCGCTCGCTCGCTCGCTCGCTCGCTCGCTCGCTCGCTCGCTCGCTCGCCTCGCTCGCTCTCGCTCGCTCGCTCGCTCGCTCGCTCCTCTCGCTCGCTCGCTCGCTCGCTGCTCGCTCGCTCGCTCGCTCGCTCGCTCTCTCGCTGCTCGCTCCGCTCGCTCGCTCGCTCGCTCGCTCGCTCGCTCGCTCGCTCGCTCCTCGCTCGCTCGTCGCTCGCTCGCTCGCTCCTCGCTCGCTCGCTCGCTCGCTCGTCGCTCATCCTCGTCGCTCTCCTCGTTTTTGCTTGCGTTTCGTTGTTCGTTCGCGTTCGTTCGTTCGTTTCGTTCGTCGTTCGTTCGTTCGTTCGTTTCGTTCGTTCGTTCGTTCGTTCGTTCGTTCGTTCGTTCGTTCGTTCGTTGTTCGTTCGTTCGTTCGTTTCGTTCGTTCGTTCGTTCGTTCGTTCGTTCGTTCGTTCGTTCGTTCGTTCGTTCGTTCGTTGTTCGTTTCGTTCTTTCGTTTCGTTCGTTCGTTCGTTCGTTCGTTCGTTCGTTCGTTTCTTTCGTTCGTTCTTGTCGTTCGTTCGTTCGTTCGTTTCGTTCGTTCGTTCGTTCGTTCGTTCGTTTCGTTTCGTTCGTTCGTTCGTCGTTTCGTTCTTCGTTCGTTCGTTCGTTCGTTCGTTCGTTTCGTTCGTTCGTTCGTTCGTTCGTTCGTTCGTTCGTTCGTTCGTTCGTTCGTTCGTTCGTTCGTTCGTTTTCGTTCGTTCGTTCGTTCGTTCTCGTTCGTTCGTTCGTTCGTTTTTCGTTCGTTCGTTCGTTCGTTCGTTCGTTCGTTTCGTTCGTTCGTTCGTTCGTTCGTTCGTTCGTTCGTTCGTTTCGTTCGTTCGTTCGTTCGTTCGTTCGTTCGTTCGTTCGTTCTTCGTTCGTTCGTTCGTTCGTTCGTTCGTTTCGTTCGTTCGTTCGTTCGTTCGTTCGTTCGTTCGTTCGTTCGTTCGTTCGTTCGTTTCGTTGTTCTTCGTTCGTTCGTTCGTTCGTTCGTTCGTTCTTTCGTTCGTTCGTTCGTTCGTTCGTTCGTTCGTTCGTTCGTTCGTTCGTTTTCGTTCGTTAGTTCGTTCGTTCGTTCGTTCTCGTTCGTTCGTTCGTTCGTTCGTCGTTCGTTCGTTTTTTCGTTCGTTCGTTCGTTCGTTCGTTGTTCGTTCGTTCGTTCGTTCGTTCGTTCGTTCGTTCGTTCGTTCGTCGTTCGTTCGTTCGTTCGTTCGTTCGTTTGTTTCGTTCGTTCGTTCGTTCGTTCGTTCGTTCGTTTCGTTCGTTCGTTCGTTCGTTCGTTTCGTTCGTCGTTCGTTTCTTTCTCTTCTCTTCTCTCTCTTTCTCTTTCTCTCCGTTGCTCTGCTCCTCCTCCTCTTTTCTTCTTTCCGCCCCTTTCTTTTTCCTATTCGTCCTTTTTTTTTTTAAAAAATAGTTTTTTATTACTTTTTCGCTAAATATATGGCTATTTAAGTTAAAAATTATATTATTTATTTAACTTATAATCAAACTGTCAAATTTAAACAAATATTGGCATGTCAACAATTTACATTTACTAAATAATTAATGTAAAATAAAAATAATATAGAAGTTTATACACACCATGTCTATTTAACCTTCAAATATTTAAAAACAACATTTAATTTAAAGAACAAACAAAAGCAAAAATCGGTTTAAAAAGTCAGTAGCGAAGTATAGGTACTACAAACATAGTACTTTTTTCCATGGCTTCTGTTTAAGTACCTTTTAAACATTTTTCAAATGGTTAATTTTTCTTTGATTAGTGTAATTTTACATAATTTTTTGGAGAACCATATAAAATGGTTGTTTGTTTTGCACTGTTGGGATATGGAAAGTAAGTATTTGATTACGTAATAACCAGTATTTATAACACTTTTTTGCAGCCCAATTTCAGTTTTCAAGTCAGGCGATGGATGAAAATTTATTTATACAAATGTGGCCCATAAATCAGCTAAAATTGGATGGTGATTTAGAGGGACGTATTTTATCGCATGAAAATTCCCATGTGGCCATTTATTTTGATATGAATTGTTTGAAATCGGGGGATATATTACGAAAGGTATAAGATTTTTCGATTAAACCGAGAATGTTATTTCTGAATATTTTGTGTATTAGGCGAGCGAGGAAAAGTTATTCAAGCAATATTTCCATTGGCTAATATATGATCCTTCAGCAGATTTAAAAAAATTCAAGGTTCTTTTCAAACATTTTAATTTGTCGGTAGATGCCGATGTTACTTTGGTCCAGCCTAATGCGAGGTTTTTAAATTCTGCTATAAATTCTTCTTATATTTTATATGATGTTTATAATAATGGTTATTCTTTGGGAGGAAAATTAAATGTGACCGTAGATCGGGAGTTAATATGTTCTCGGGAGAAATGTGTTCTGAAACAATATTTATCTACTTTATATGAAAGATCAAAGTGTGAAAATCGTTGGTATTTGAGAGATATAACCATGAGGTTATCTACAGTGGTGGGTATAATTATAACAAATATAAAATTATATACTTTATTACGAATTTGTTTTCAAAAAAGGTCACCGGCGTTCCCTTAAAGGCTCCGCAAAATGAACTCTTGGACCATTTAAGTTCTACTAAAGAGAAACATATTGACGCAGTAGCCAAGTATGGTTTTCAGTACATGATGATTTTAAAAGAGAATCTGGAATGCGAGTAAGAAAGAGAAATCCATCAAAAATTAGTTGCAATTGAGAATCGCCACATATATTTTTCTTAACAGCTTTCATTACAATTTCACCAGTATATGGAGTCGTACCGAAATCAGTGGTGGTTGTATTGGTGCTATCGGTATAGATAACTCGGCCGATCTCGCTTCGTCGCCTTTTATTCCCACTAACAAACGTTTGCAGTATACGCAATCCTTAACTGAATTAGGTTCTTTTCGACATGTTTGCATTTTTCGTACGCCCCACAATGCTGGTATACAGGGTGCTGTAATTCTCGAACCATTTTCAGTAAACGTATGGATCTTATTCGGAGCCATGTTAATGTTAATAGCTATTCTATTAAAGTTGACATTTTTATTGGAATTTCATCGCATGAAAACTGTGCTGGGTTTTGTTCCCTCATTTCTCACCACTTGTTTGATTTCATTAGGTTCGGCCTGTTATCAGGGTAGTTTCCTAATACCCAGTTCCATAGGTGGACGCATAGTATTCATAACTATGACTTTATTAACATTATCATATACAATTATTATACCTCGATAGTTGTTGCTAAATTGTTAGCTTCACCGCTTAAATCGAATATTAAGACGTTGGCCCAGTTGGCCGATAGTAACTTGGAAGTCGGCCTAGAACCTGCACCCTACACAAAGTCGTATTTGAATGTAAGTTGAAAAAAATTTATATTAATTTGTTTATTAATTCTGTCTCCAGTATTCAACATTATCCGATGTCCAACGTTTTGCACACAATAAAATCGATTCCAAGCATGATCCTGATAGTGTTTGGATGAATGTTGACGATGGCCTTCGGCGGGTGCGTGAAGAACACGGCTTTGTTTATGTCATAGATGCTATTACCGGTTATGATTTAATAGAAAAATCCTATACAGCAGAAGAGATTTGTGATCTCAATGAAATACCTTTCAGACCCGAACAGCCTTTGTACCAGCATTTGCCGAAGAACTCTTCGTACGGGGAAATTATTAAATTGAAGTATACAATAATCTTATTTGGAAAGAAATTGTATATTTAAAGTTTTTTGCTTATAGACAATTGCGCATTATGGAATCCGGAGTCTATAGACGCCATTCCCACCTGTGGTTGAAGAGAAATTGAATTGTTATTTATCGAATAGTTTTTCGGTGCAAGTTGGTTTGGAATACACCGCTCCCTTATTTATGATGATGGTAGCGGCTTATATTTTGGCGTTTGTCCTAATGTTCCTGGAAATTATGTGGTTCAACTATCAGAAAAAATCTATGAACCGTGATAGTTCAGATATGAAAAAAATTCTAGAGGAAGAGGGAGCGTTCGAAGTTGTGAGAGATTTCAAAGAAAATTTTACATTTTTAAAGGCACCAAGTTTTTGTAGCACTTTCGTATGTTTAAGATTTTAAAAGCACATTAAAGCACGAGATAAATAAATAAGTAATAGAAAGTTGTTTTAATAAAGAAAATTTTAGGTAAAACTAACTAACTAACTAACTAACTAACTAACTAACTAACTAACTAACTAACTAACTAACTAACTAACTAACTACTAACTAACTAACTACACTACTAACTAACTAACTAACTAACTAACTAACTAACTAACTAACTAACAACTAACTAACTAACTAACTAACTAACTAACTAACTAACTAACTACTAACTAACTAACTAACTAACTAACTAACTACTAACTTACTAACTAACGACTAACTAACTAACTAACTAACTAACTAACTAACTAACTAACTAACTACTACTAACTAACTAACTAACTACTAACTAACTAACACTAACTACTAACTAACTAACTAACTAACTAACTAACTAACTAACTAACTAACTAACTAACTAACTAACTAACTAACTAACTAACTAACTAACTAACTAACTAACTACTAACTAACTAACTAACTAACTACCTAACTAACTAACTTACTAACTAACCTAACTAACTAACTAACTAACTAACTAACTAACTAACTTACTAACTACCTAACTAACTAACTAACTAACTAACTAACTATCTAACTGTTTTAATCCATTTCAAATTCTTTTCGTGTATTTTCCTAAGAAAGTACCTTTTTGTTACTATTTCAATTTAAGTACTTTTTTTGCCGTATTTTGTAAGTATTTCCCATTTTTTTAAATTTTATTTATAGTTTCCTTATTCTTTCATGAATTTCGCAAAGTAAAGTTCTTTTGGTATCCACCATTAAGGTATTTTGATTTTATCATTCCGTTTTGTAACACTTCGAAGTAGTCATCTAAGAACCTCAAAAGTAAATACATATTGGATTCTTAGACGATCTAGCTCTAGCCGTACTTCTGTCACACTTTAAGGTCCAAACGAAAAAGATAGAGGGTTAAAATTTGCCACATATAGTTTAAACAGTCATAACTGGCTTAAAAATAAAAAGCTTCTCTCCCCTTCAGACAATTACTTCAACGAGCATTACTAGCTTAAAAGGGAAACACTCCTTAAAACTAGGAAGATCTTGGTCCATATTTGACCTAAGTTCTCAATACAAGACATGCTTTGATGGAGGATATACATATAAGGCTCATCATAGCCGAACATAATGCTCTTACTTGTTGTTTATTTAACTTGTCATCAAACTGTCAAATTTAAACAAATATTGATATGTTCAAAATTTAATTAAACTAAATAATGGAGGATAAAAAGAAAACAATACGCAAAGGACAATGTATATTTAGTCCTTAAATTAGTTAAAAATAACATTTTATTCAAATAACAAATAAAACGGAAAATTCGACTGCAAATCAATAAGAAAATATATTAAAAATAGATTTTTTTTAAACTTTATTTTTTTCTTTTTTAAATTTTTATAAATGGCGAATTTTCCTTTAATTAATTTGATATTATATAATTTTCTGGAAAACCATATAAAATGGTTATTTGTCTTACACTGCTGGGATATGAAAAGTGAGTACTTGGAGGTTATGTAATAAAAAAGGGGACTAACGACTTTTTTTGCAGCCCAATTATATTTTTCCGATAAGGCCATGAATGAAAATTTATTTATACAAATGTGGCCCATAGATCGTTTAAAATTGGAAGGTGATTTAGAGGAACGTATTTTATCGCATAACAAACCCCATGTGGCCATTTATTTTGATATGAATTGTACAAAATCGGAGGATATATTGAAAAAGGTAGTTAATTTTTTTCTATGTCAAAGAAATGTTTAATATCTCGAATTTTGTTTTTAAGGCCAGTGAGGAAAAATTATTTAGCCAACATTTCCATTGGCTTATATATGATTCTTCAGCGGATTTAGACAAGTTTAAGAAACTATTTCAAAATTTCAATATGGCTGTAGATGCCGATGTTACCTTGGTCCACCCTAATGTGGAATTTATAAATTCTGCTAAAAATTCTTCTTATATTTTAACTGATGTTTATAATAATGGTTATTTTTTAGGCGGCAAATTGAATATGACCTTAGATCGGGAGTTAATATGCTCAAGAGAGAATTGTGTGGTAAAACGATATTTGTCCTCTTTACATGAAAGATCCAAGTATGAACATCGTTGGCATTTGAGAGATTTAACCATGAGAGTAACTACAGTGGTGGGTGTAATTCTAATTTGTTGTAATTTTAAGAAATAATTTATATAGTTACTTTTGGTGGAATAATAGGTCACCTCCTTACCCTTAACTACTCCGGAAAATATACTTTTGGCGCATTTAGGTTCCACTAAAGATAAACATATTGATGGAGTAGCTAAATTTGGTTTTCAGTACTTGATGATCTTTAAAGATACGCTACAATGCAAGTAAGAATTGAAAAATTATATAAAACTGACAAATCGGTTCAAAACTCTGAAAAAATATAAGAAATAACTTAAAGGTTGTGAAATATAAAAAATTTTGTTCTCTTCATAGCTTTCGCTACAATTTCACTAATGCCTGGAGTCGTACCGAGTTCACAGGTGGTTGTGTTGGAGCCCTGGGAGTAGATGGTTCTGCCGATATATCCTCTTCCCCTTTTCTTCTCACTAAAAATCGTATAAAACACGTGCAAGCCGTCATGGAAGTGGGTAATTTTCGACAAGTTTGTATATTTCGTACCCCACATAATGCTGGTATACAGGGAGCTGTATTTCTTGAACCATTTTCTGTTCGAGTGTGGATCATCTTTGGCGCTATTCTCATTTTAACTGCTTTTCTATTGTGGCTGACATTTTTTGTGGAATTTCATAAAATGAAGACAATGTTGGGTTTTATACCCTCATTTCTTACCACCTGTTTGATTTCATTCGGATCGGCCTGTTATCAGGGTAGTTTTCTAATACCCAGTTCCATGGGTGGACGTATAGCTTTCATAACGTTGTCATTATTGACTTTTATTATATATAATTATTATACCTCGATAGTGGTGGCTATACTCTTGGGTTCCCCGGTAAAATCGAATATTAAGACGTTGGGCCAACTGGCCGATAGTAATTTGGAGGTGGGCCTGGAACCTACACCGTTTACAAAGTCGTATTTAAATGTATGTTATATATTCTTTTAAAGAATTTTTAATATCTTATATCATTCCTTTAGTTTTCAACTTTACCCGCGGTCAAAAGATTTGTGCGCAATAAAATTGATTCTAAGCGTAATCCCGATAAACTTTGGATAAGTGTCGAAGAGGGTCTTCAACGTGTGCGTAAAAATCCTGGTTATGTTTTTGTTATAGAGGCCTTTTCCGGTTATGGTTTGATACAAAATTCCTATACCACTGAAGAAATTTGTGATCTCAATGAAATACTTCTAAGACCCGATCAGCCTCTATACCACCATCTGCCCATGAATTCTTCTTACAGGGAAATTGTTAAATTAAAGTATTAACACATTTTTGTTTAAGAAACCAAATTATTTAAACAAAATATCCTTTAGACAAATGCGCATTTTGGAGACCGGTATTTATCGGCGCACTTACCGCCAATGGGTGAAGAGGAAATTGAATTGTTATCAATCGAATAGTTTTTTGGTTCAAGTGGGTTTGGAATATACCGCCCCTTTGTTTATGATCCTAGCTTCGGCCTATATATTGGTACTATTTCTACTGATGCTGGAAATTTTGGTCCAAAGTTGAGAAACTATTAAAAAGTCGCCAAAGAAGATTCAAGGCAGAAATGGAGTTAAGACGTAGGAAGTCTAAAGATGTTGAATATTCGAAAAGATTTTTTTGGAAATAAATGTACTTGTTTTTGGCACCAAGTTTTCTGTAGCACTTTAGTAGCGTTCAACGTTATTTGAAAGCACATTAAAGCACGTGTTTAGAAAAGGTTAAAAATTGTTAAATTGATTTGGTGACTCCCTTTGCTTATAGACCTATACAATAGGTCGGGTTTTATAGTATAGATAGATAGATAGATAGATAGATAGATAGATAGATTAGATAGATAGATAGATAGATCGATAGATAGCTAGATCGATAGCTCGCTCGCTCGCTCGCTCGCTCTCGCTGCTCGCTGCTCGATGCTCGCTAGCTCGCTCGCTCGCTCGCTCGCTCGCTCGTCGCTCGCTCGCTCGCTCGCTCGCTCGCTCGCTCGCTCGCTCGCTCGCTCGCTCGCTCGCTCGCTCGCTCGCTCGCTCGCTCGCTCGCTCGCTCGCTCGCTCGCTCGCTCGCATCGCTCGCTCGCTCGCTCGCTCGCTCGCTCGCTCGCTCGCTCGCTCGCTCGCTCGCTCGCTCGCTCCTGCTCGCTCGCTCGCATCGCTCGCTCGCTCGCTCGCTCGCTCGCTCCTCGCTCGCTCGCTCGCTCGCTCGCTCGCTCGCTCGCTCGCTCCTCGCTAGCTCGCTCGCTCGCTCGCTCGCTCGCTCGCTCGCTCGCTCGCTCGCTCGCTCGCTCGCTCGCTCGCTCGCTCGCTCGCTCGCTCGCTCGCTCGCTCGCTCGCTCGCTCGCTCGCTCGCTCGCTCGCTCGCTCGCTCGCTCGCTCGCTCGCTCGCTCGCTCGCTCGCTCGCTCGCTCGCTCGCTCGCTCGCTCGCTCGCTCGCTCGCTCGCTCGCTCGCTCGCTCGCTCGCTCGCTCGCTCTCGCTCGCTCGCTCGCTCGCTCGCTCGCTCGCTCGCTCGCTCGCTCGCTCGCTCGCTCGCTCGCTCGCTGCTCGCTCTCTCTCGCTCGCTCGCTCGCTCGCTCGCTCGCTCGCTCTCTCGCTCGCTCGCTCGCTCCTCGCTCCTCGCTCGCTCGCTCGCTCGCTCGCTCGCTCGCTCTCGCTCGCTCGCTCGCTCGCTCTCTCGCTCGCTCGCTCGCTCGCTCGCTCGCTCGCTGCTCGCTCGCTCGCTCGCTCGCTCGCTCGCTCGCTCGCTCGCTCGCTCGCTCGCTCGCTCTCTCGCTCGCTCGCTCGCTCGCTCGCTCGCTCGCTCGCTCGCTCGCTCGCTCGCTCGCGCGCTCGCTCGCTCGCTCTCTCGCTCGCTCGCTCGCTCGCTCTCTCGCTCGCTCGCTCGCTCGCTCGCTCGCTCGCTCGCTCGCTCGCTCGCTCGCTCGCCGCTCGCTCGCTCGCTCGCTCGCTCGCTCCTGCTCGCTCGCTCGCTCCTCGCTTGCTCGCTCGCTCGTCGCTGCTCGCTCGCTTCGTTCGTTCGTTTCGTCCGCGCTCTCGCTCGCTCGTTCGTCGCTTTTTCGCCGCTTTTTCTCTGTTCGTCTTCGTTCTTGTGCGTTCTTTCCGCCTCTCTTCGTTTTCCCCTTTCCCGCTGTTCGTCTTCGTCGTGGTCCTCCTTCTTTACCCTTCTCTCGAGTTTCTCATGAAGTCCTCATACTCTCTCGGCTCGTTCACTTTTTCTAAGGTTTGTTTCCTTTATCCGACTTACAACATTGTGCTGCAACATGTTGGAACGTATTTGTTCCACACACGTTTCTTCTCAATAAATAAAACAACAGGTGTTTGATGTATTTTTAGCATCACGTGCATTTCTAATTTTATTCACTTTTAATACATTCTGCGCATGTCTGATTAACCGGCCCTCTGCTAAATAATTGTGGTAAATATTGGAGGCATATTTTAGGCGAGAAATTTAGGAAATAGTGCAGCAACTGGGAGACAATGTTAAAGTGATGTTACATGGTTTGAAGGCTAAATATAATAATGGCACTATGTAGTATTTTTATTCAATTTAAATTTAAATTGAGGGTCTTTGTAGAAGCACCTTACTTGTAAAGTAGTTATATAGAAACCATTGCCACTTTACTGTCTCCAAGTAATCTGTTCGGTAGTTAGTTCAAATACGTTTTTCTCTTCTTAAAGTATCTATTACATATGAAAGTTCCTTCATCTCTTTGAAAGTCTTCCTTTTAAGTATCGATTGACTTGCCCCGATTTTCAGTCCCTATAAAAATAAACTAAATTGCCATTTAACGTGTCAAACTCCTACTTTATTGACCATAAAGAACAATAAAACAAGTGCTTAAGGTGCTAAATATATTTGAAACGCTTTTTTTTTATAATTTCAAATTCCATTTTCCTACAATATCCTGCTGCTACTATGGATAATTTCCTTTTCCTATTTTCAACATAACGATACCAGATGATTTCTAGAGCAAAAACGATAAAGACAAGCATATAACCACAGAGTAAAAGCATAAATAAAGGACCCGCATATTCCATGCCCACATTTATGACGAAATTATTCGAAATACAATTCAAATGATTGCGAACCCAGAGGCGGCTATGTTTGGAGTGGACGCCCGTTTCCAAAATGCGCAGAAGTCTAGGAGAAATAAAATGTATTAAATTTAACATTTTAAAGATTTTTCTGTGAGCAGATTTTAAAACTTACTTGAGTCTTACAATTTCCTTATAACTGGAATTTCTATGCAAATGTGTTAGTATAACCGATTCGCTATGAAAGAGTATTTCATTTAGATCACAAATCTCATGAAGTTCAAATTGATTTTCTATAATATTGTAACCAGTGGAGGCCTCAAATATAAACACATATCCAGGTTTTTCACGCATTTTATTAATACCCTCCTGGGCCGACAACCAATAGTTCTTTTTGTTTTCAAGTTTGCGCTTACAAAGCGCCGAACATCGGGTACCGTAGAATACTATAAACAGAAAAATCAGATCAGCAAAATTCCTCTAGGGAAAAAGCAATTTAACTTACATTCAAATACGTGTAGGTATAGGGCAAAGGTTCCAAGCCCACTTCCAAATTAGAATCTGCCTAAATCAGCCCAATGTCTTGATTTTGGATTTAACAGGTGAACCCTAATAAGGTGGATACCACCACCGAGGTATAATAATTATTAACAAGAAAGGAAATAATTAGCAAATGAAATAAAGCCCAAACGTCCGCCCAAAGAACCGGGTATCAAAAAACTCCCCTGAGAACAGGCGGAGCCAAAAGAAATCAAACAGGTAGTTAACAAAGAAGGAACAAACTCCACATAACATATCATGCGATTATATTCAACAAAGAAAGTTAACCAGAGAAAGACAGCAGCCAAAGCCAATATCACACCAAATATAATCCAAACTTTGGTGCTAAAAGGCTCTATAAAGACTCGCCCCTGTATACCCGAATTGCGTGGAGTGCGAAACATGCACACCGAATGAAAGGCTCCCGTATGGATAACAGGCGTCAGTAACAAGAAACGCCGAAGAGTCATAAAGAATGGAGCCGAAGTAAATTCAGTAGTTTCGCTAATCAAATCACCCACTATACCACCAGTAAGTTCATTATCGGTCCAGCGACCGTAGTAGGTATAGGAAACACTAAAAATGTATAATATTAGAATGATTTCCCAAATAATTTCAAGAATATAACTAAATACTTGGTATATAAAGAGTCTAATAAAAGCATCAAAATCCGCATGCCCAATCTTGCTATCGGATCTATATGAAAATCTCTTTCGGCCAAGAGAAAATCTTGTATCTCCTGTTCGGGAGCATTCAAATCATAACGGGTAACCTGAAAAAAATCATTGTATAGTCTATTGTCAAGTCTATAGTCTAGTCTATAGTCTAGTCTATAGTCTAGTCTATAGTCTAGTCTATCTAGTCTATAGTCTAGTCTATAGTCTAGTCTATAGTCTAGTCTATAGTCTAGTCTATAGTCTAGTCTATAGTCTAGTCTATAGTCTAGTCTATAGTCTAGTCTATAGTCCAGTCTATAGTCTAGTCTATAGTCTAGTCTATAGTCTAATCTATAGTCTAGTCTATAGTCTAGTCTATAGTCTAGTCTATAGTCTAGTCTATAGTCTAGTCTATAGTCTAGTCTATAGTCTAGTCTATAGTCTATATAGTCTATAGTCTAGTCTATAGTCTAGTCTATAGTCTAGTCTATAGTCTAGTCTATAGTCTAGTCTATAGTCTAGTCTATAGTCTAGTCTATAGTCTAGTCTATAGTCTATAGTCTAGTCTATAGTCTAGTCTATAGTCTATAGTCTAGTCTATAGTCTAGTCTATAGTCTAGTCTATAGTCTAGTCTATAGTCTAGTCTATAGTCTAGTCTATAGTCTAGTCTATAGTCTAGTCTATAGTCTAGTCTATAGTCTAGTCTATAGTCTAGTCTATAGTCTAGTCTATAGTCTAGTCTATAGTCTAGTCTATAGTCTAGTCTATAGTCTAGTCTATAGTCTAGTCTATAGTCTAGTCTATAGTCTAGTCTATAGTCTAGTCTATAGTCTAGTCTATAGTCTAGTCTATAGTCTAGTCTATAGTCTAGTCTATAGTCTAGTCTATAGTCTAGTCTATAGTCTAGTCTATAGTCTAGTCTATAGTCTAGTCTATAGTCTAGTCTATAGTCTAGTCTATAGTCTAGTCTATAGTCTAGTCTATAGTCTAGTCTATAGTCTAGTCTATAGTCTAGTCTATAGTCTAGTCTATAGTCTAGTCTATAGTCTAGTCTATAGTCTAGTCTATAGTCTAGTCTATAGTCTAGTCTATAGTCTAGTCTATAGTCTAGTCTATAGTCTAGTCTATAGTCTAGTCTATAGTCTAGTCTATAGTCTAGTCTATAGTCTAGTCTATAGTCTAGTCTATAGTCTAGTCTATAGTCTAGTCTATAGTCTAGTCTATAGTCTAGTCTATAGTCTAGTCTATAGTCTAGTCTATAGTCTAGTCTATAGTCTAGTCTATAGTCTAGTCTATAGTCTAGTCTATAGTCTAGTCTATAGTCTAGTCTATAGTCTAGTCTATAGTCTAGTCTATAGTCTAGACTATAGTCTAGTCTTATCTAGTCTATAGTCTAGTCTATGGTCTAATCTTTAGTCTAGTCTAGTCTATAGTCTAGCCTCTAATCTAGTCGTGTATAGTTTAGTGTATAGTCTAGTCTAGTATAGTCTATAGTCTAGTCTATAGTTAGTCTATAGTCTAGTCTATAGTCTAGTCTATAGTCTAGTCTATAGTCTATGGTTTGCTGAATGGTTCAGTCAATTGAAAATTTTATGTCCACTTACCACCACCGATACCCTCATAGTTATGTCCCTCAAACTCGCCCGATTACCATATTGGGACCTCTTATATAAGTCCGATAAATATTTAGTTTTCTCACAACCAGTTCGATTGCATTCGATTTCATAGTTAGAGGTTATATTCAGTGAGCCCCCCAAAAACCAACCATTATTATAGACATCAAAATTGAGGAAGGTTGAGGTGTTCGATTTTGAACTTTCCTGTAATTGCTTGGGTACCACATAGTCCAACTGGGTATCCACCGAGAGATTGACATTTTTGAATATACCATAAAATCGTGAAAAATTGGACAATTCATCGTAGACGAACCAATGATAGCGATAATTGAAAAGACGTAAATGACTATTCTGTGAGACCAAAGCATGAAATAATTAAAGTGGCCGCAATTTTTCCTTTAATTCAACTTTACCTCTTCTATAAACTGCTGGGTATGATTACAATTCATATCCATATAAATACCAATTTTCGACTGAACATGACGCATGTATCTGGGAGCAGAGTCCTGCAAAGCATTTGAATCATTTAAACTTAACATATTGGGTATAGAGGGGCATCTCTGAGGACAAGCTAGAGAAACGATAAAGGGCTGTGAAAAAAGAAAAATATATATATTTTTAAAGATCACCTAGAAAACATATACTTACTCTGCTTATTCCAACATTGAAATAAGACCACACAAGCTAATTTGTTGTTTAAAAAATGCTGAAGTATCAAACTAAATAAATTTAAATTTACCATTATTCTCTAGAGCCTTCTAGACTATATACTGCTAGTTTTCTTTGCAATCTTTTAAAAAATACTTGTTATAGTTTTAAAAATTTTCCAGCTATTTATACCCAAAATTTAATTGCTCTGTAACAGAGGACAATTTTGATTTTTGACACTATAATTTCCTATTTCATAATAGTTTGACAAAAATGTCACGTGTCATTATTTTAGCAAATCTATTTTACTGATTTTTAAATTTAGATTATTGAATGTCCTTGAGAACAAAATTTCTTTATGTCTGGCCAAAATTGTCCAATTTATTCTACACATTTAGATAGAGCTAAGCAACAAGTTGTTGATTACTATTATAATTTTATAGGTGGTTAAAAAAAGCATTCCATAATTGCCTCCTACAAGTCAAAACTTTTAAATAGAGAATCTTAAAATTATCTTATAGGTAATGTAGCCATATGAAGGGCCTTTTAGACTAGACTATAGACTAGACTATAGACTAGACTATAGACTAGACTATATACTAGACTATAGACTAGACTATAGACTAGACTATAGACTAGACTATAGACTAGACTATAGACTAAACTATAGACTAGACTCTAGACTAGACTATAGACTAGACTATAGACTAGACTATAGACTAGACTATAGAGTAGACTATAGACTAGACTATAGACTAGACTATAGACTAGACTATAGACTAAACTATAGACTAGACTACAGACTAGACTATAGACTAGACTATAGACTAGACTATAGACTAGACTATAGACTAGACTATAGACTAGACTATAGACTAGACTATAGACTAGACTATAGACTAGACTATAGACTAGACTATAGACTAGACTATAGACTAGACTATAGACTAGACTGTAGACTAGACTGTAGACTAGACTGTAGACTAGACTATAGACTAGACTATAGACTAGAATGTAGACTGTAGACTAGACTATAGACTAGACTGTAGACTAGACTATAGACTAGACTGTAGACTAGACTATAGACTAGACTATAGACTAGACTATAGACTAGACTATAGACTAGACTATAGACTAGACTATAGACTAGACTATAGACTAGACTATAGACTAGACTATAGACTAGACTATAGACTAGACTATAGACTAGACTATAGACTAGACTATAGACTAGACTATAGACTAGACTATAGACTAGACTATAGACTAGACTATAGACTAGACTATAGACTAGACTATAGACTAGACTATAGACTAGACTATAGACTAGACTATAGACTAGACTATAGACTAGACTATAGACTAGACTATAGACTAGACTAGACTAGACTATAGACTAGACTATAGACTAGACTATAGACTAGACTATAGACTAGACTATAGACTAGACTATAGACTAGACTATAGACTAGACTATAGACTAGACTATAGACTAGACTATAGACTAGACTATAGAACTAGACTATAGACTAGACTATAGACTAGACTATAGACTAGACTATAGACTAGACTATAGACTAGACTATGACTAGGACTATAGACTAGACATAGACTAGGACTATAGACTAGACTATAGACTAGACTATAGACTAGACTATAGACTAGACTATAGACTAGACTATAGACTAGACTATAGACTAGACTATAGACTAGACTATAGACTAGACTATAGACTAGACTATAGATAGACTATAGACTAGACTATAGACCTAGACTATAGACTAGACTATAGACTAGACTATAGACTAGACTATAGACTAGACTATAGACTAGATATAGACTAGACTATAGACTAGACTATAGACTAGACTATAGACTAGACTATAGACTAGACTAGACTATAGACTAGACTATAGACTAGACTATAGACTAGACTGTAGACTAGACTATAGACTAGACTGTAGACTAGACTATAGACTAGACTATAGACTAGACTATAGACTAGACTATAGACTAGACTATAGACTAGACTATAGACTAGACTAAACTATAGACTGGACTATAGACTAGACTAAACTATAGACTGGACTATAGACTGGATAATAAACTAGACTATAGTTATATACTAGACTATGTAAGCTAGAAAATAGACTATATTATATTGGAGGCTCGTTTATATATTAGTTTTTTATTTAAGAAAATATTGCATATTTTTAGGAATTTTATTATTTAAATTACTTTGCATACTTTTAGTTTCATATTTCATTGGTTTGTCTGCTTGTTGCCCAATTACTTACAAATGTCTTCCTCTAAGCCACCTATAAATATTTAATACAAATCAGCAACTTGTTGCCAATTGTCCGACAAGTGTAGAATAAATTGAGCAATTTACAACAGGAAATAACCAAACCTTAGACTATTTATTTTAGGGACATTTCAACATTTAAGGATTATTAATAGAAGGGTTTAAAAAAAGCCCTACAACTTTTTTAGACAAATTAATTTGTCAATCATTAATAGGGTTTTATAGCAAAACAATTCAACTTTAGCTAAAAATTTAGCAAGCATTTTTCTCAGATTGTTTAGAGTAGCAGACAAGACAGGAAGTTCAAATTTGAACCAGTGAGAAAATAATGTTAAATTCCAATTTATTCAGTTTAATTTTCAATCATTTCTTGGACAGCCGATTGGCTTGTGTGGTATTATTTCATTGCTGGAATAGGGATGGCAAGTATTTGGGAAGAAATCTAGAAATTCCTATTATATAATTTCATCTTTACAGCTCTTTCTCAATTCTCCTCATTGACCTCTCAGCTGTCGATCTATACTCAATATGTTAATCTGAATGATTCGGATGCTTTGCAGGATTTTGCTCCTCGTTATATGCGTCATGATCAGCCTCAAATTGGCATTTATATGGATATGAATTGTCAGCAAACGGAGCAATTTATAGAAGAGGTAAAGGAAATGTTAAGATCTCTCTACTCTTTCCAATTCCCTTTCTCTTTTCTCTCTCACAGACCAGTCACTTACGTCTTTTCAACTATCGCTATCGTTGGCTTGTCTACGATGAATTATCGAATTTCTCTCGTTTTTATGGTATATTCAAGAAAGTCAATCTCTCGGTGGATACCCAGTTGGCCTATGTGGTACCTAAGGAACATCAAAAACCCGTAAATCTCAGCAAAACCTCTTATATCAATTTTGATGCCTATAATAATGGTTTGTTTTTGGGAGGCTCTCTCAATATAACCTCCAACTATGAAATCGCCTGCAATAGTAGCGATTGTCGGAAAATTAAATATTTATCGGATTTATATAGACGGCCTCAGTATGGTAATCGTCAGACTTTGAGCGATATCACTATGAGAGTAGCAGTGGTGGTGGGTGGTTTAGGATTAATTATTAGTTTTATAGTTTGAAAAATGTATATAATTTTTCAGGTCACCCGTTATGATTTGCAAGCTCCGGAACAGGATATACAAAATTTTCTCTTAAAGCAACAGGATTTTCATATCGATCCCTTGTCCCGTTTAGGGCATACAGATATTGTTACTTTTAAAAGATTCCTTAAACACCAAGTAGTTGGAAATCAGAACGTAATTTAGGAATGAATTTAATATTTTATTTAACTTTTAGAGTTCTCCTATATCTACTCCGATCGCTGGACCGATGTGGACTATACGGGAGGTATAGTGGGAGCTTTGGTTACCGAAACAGGCGGACTTAACCTCATGCCCCTTTCTTTATGACTGCTGGTCGTTTTCAGTTTCTAACACCCATTGCTCCCACCGGTGACTTTCGTTCGGTTTGCATGTTTCGCACTCCCCTCAATTCGGGTATACAGGGGCGGGTCTTTATAGAGCCCTTTAGTACCAAAGTTTGGATTATGTTTGGTGTAATCTTGGCCTTAGCTGCTCTATTTCTCTGGTTGACTTTCTTTGTGGAATATTATCGCATGAAACCCACTACAGAGTTTCTGCCCTCATTGTTAACAACTTGTTTGATTTCTTTTGGTTCCGCCTGTTCGCAGGGCAGTTTTTGATACCCACTTCCTGGGAGGACGTTTGGGTTTTATTTCTTTGCTAATTATATCATTCCTGGTTAATAACTATTATACCTCGGTGGTGGTTTCCACTCTATTGGGTTCACCCGTTAAATCCAAAATAAAAACTATGGGCGATTTGGCAGATTCGAATTTGGAAGTGGGTTTAGGAACCCTTGCCCTATACCTACACCTATTTGAATGTAAGTAAAAAAGGTTTTATACTTTAAACCAAAAATTACTTAAAAATTCCTTTTTTCTCCTTAAGTTTTCTGGATTACCGGAAGTACGCCGCTTTGTTAAGCGTAAAATTGAAAATAAAAAGAATTTTTGGTTTTCGGCCCAGGAGGGCATAAATAAAATGCGTGAAAAACCGGGTTTTGTATTCATTTTTGAAACCTCTACTGGGTTCAATATAATCGAAAATCAATTTGATCAACATGAGATTTGCGACTTGAATGAAATACTTTTTCGCAGCGATACCTTATTGCTAACACATTTACATAAGAATTCCAGTTACAAGGAAATTGTACGACTCAAGTAAGTGGATCCAAAAAGTATATAGAAAAATTTTGATGCATTTCTTTTTCCCGCCTCTAGAACTATGCGCATTTTGGAAACAGGTGTTCACTCCAAACATCGCCGTCTATGGGTTCGTACTCATTTGAATTGTATGTCGAACAATTTTGTCATAAATGTAGGCATGGAATATACGGGCCCTTTATTTCTTCTCTTGATCTTTGGTTATTTAATGGTTTTGGTTGTCTTTATGGTGGAAATTATTTGGCATCATTATGCGGAGAGAAGGAAGAGAATGTTATCTATAGAACAGCTGGGTAAAGAGGACAATTAAGAGAATGGAAAAGGAAAACTATGCAACTAAAAACATTTCAAAATATATATCTAGCACCTATTAAGCACCGATATGATTATTCATTCAAATAAAGTAGTCTTGCACTTTGCATTGCATTTCAAGGAGTTTAATTTTACCAATTTTAAAGGGATAACATTTCAATTTAGAAAAGTTTGTCGAATAATGTGTTTTTTAAAAAAGTACTTTTTTGGATACTTTTTGCAGAAAAGTACTTTGTCTGCTACCTTTCAAAAAAAAAAAATACTTTTTACACAAATGCCTTTAAGAGGTGCTAAAATGTTTAAAAATCTTAGTTTATATTTCTAAAAAGTCACAAAAACTTGATTTTAGAAAAAGTACTTTTTAGTACTTTTTTAAAATAGTAGTAAAAACTACTATTTTAATATAACACTAAAAATCGAGTTTTTAAGAAAACCAAACATTTAGTATGTCAAAATACAAATTTCGTAAATAAAATTAATTTCTATAAAATAGTAGTAAAAAAGTACTTTTTAGAAAATGTGTAAAAACGTACATTTTTGAGAAAATTTAACATTTTAAACATTTGCTGAACGTTGTTATTAATTTTGAACAAATTTGAAACTTATACTAGAAGGTTTTAAAATAGTAGTAGAAAAGTACTTTTTGTAAAACATGTCCAAAAATAGTATTAGCCACAAAAAAGAGACATTTAGTACGTGAGAATGCAAATTTCTTACATAATATGTACTTTTATAAATAGTAGTAGAAAAGTACTTTTTAGGAAATGTGTAAAATATGTGATCTTTAATACATAGTACTAGGAAAGTAGTAAAAAACTACTATTTGAAGATAGATGGATAGATAGATAGATAGATAGATAGATAGATAGATAGATAGATAGATAGATAGATAGATAGATAGATAGATAGATAGATAGATAGATAGATAGATAGATAGATAGATAGATAGATAGATAGATAGATAGATAGATAGATAGATAGATAGATAGATAGATAGATAGATAGATAGATAGATAGATAGATAGATAGATAGATAGATAGATAGATAGATAGATAGATAGATAGATAGATAGATAGATAGATAGATAGATAGATAGATAGATAGATAGATAGATAGATAGATAGATAGATAGATAGATAGATAGATAGATAGATAGATAGATAGATAGATAGATAGATAGATAGATAGATAGATAGATAGATAGATAGATAGATAGATAGATAGATAGATAGATAGATAGATAGATAGATAGATAGATAGATAGATAGATAGATAGATAGATAGATAGATAGATAGATAGATAGATAGATAGATAGATAGATAGATAGATAGATAGATAGATAGATAGATAGATAGATAGATAGATAGATAGATAGATAGATAGATAGATATAGATAGATAGATAGATAGATAGATAGATAGATAGATAGATGATAGATAGATAGATAGATAGATAGATAGATAGATAGATAGATAGATAGATAGATAGATAGATAGATAGATAGGATAGATAGATAGATAGATAGATAGATAGATAGATAGATAGATAGATAGATAGATAGATAGATAGATAGATAGATAGATAGATAGATAGATAGATAGATAGATAGATAGATAGATAGATAGATAGATAGATAGATAGATAGATAGATAGATAGATAGATAGATAGATAGATAGATAGATAGATAGATAGATAGATAGATAGATAGATAGATAGATAGATAGATAGATAGATAGATAGATAGATAGATAGATAGATAGATAGATAGATAGATAGATAGATAGATAGATAGATAGATAGATAGATAGATAGATAGATAGATAGATAGATAGATAGATAGATAGATAGATAGATAGATAGATAGATAGATAGATAGATAGATAGATAGATAGATAGATAGATAGATAGATAGATAATAGTAGTTAGTAGTTAGTTAGTTAGTAGTAGTTAGTTAGTTAGTTAGTTAGTTAGTTAGTTAGTTAGTTAGTTAGTTAGTTAGTAGTTAGTTAGTAGTTAGTTAGTTAGTTAGTTAGTTAGTTAGTTAGTTAGTTAGTTAGTTAGTTAGTTAGTTAGTAGTTAGTTAGTAGTTAGTTAGTTAGTTAGTTAGTTAGTAGTTAGTTAGTTAGTTAGTTAGTTAGTTAGTTAGTTAGTAGTAGTTAGTTAGTTAGTTAGTTAGTTAGTTAGTTAGTTAGTTAGTTAGTTAGTTAGTTAGTTAGTTAGTTAGTTAGTTAGTTAGTTAGTTAGTTAGTTAGTTAGTTAGTTAGTTAGTTAGTTAGTTAGTTAGTTAGTTAGTTAGTTAGTTAGTTAGTTAGTTAGTTAGTTAGTTAGTTAGTTAGTTAGTAGTTAGTTAGTTAGTTAGTAGTTAGTTAGTTAGTTAGTTAGTGAGTTCAGTTTAGTTAGTTTAGTTTAGTTAGTTAGTTAGTGAGTTCAGTTTAGTTAGTTTAGTTTAGTTAGTTTAGTTAAAACCGTTTAAAACCTTCTAAAATGCATTCATATAATTCGTTTTCCAAAAAGTACTTTTTCTAAAAAAAAACTTACTCAAAAAGTACTTTTTAAAAGAAAGTACTTTCTTATGGAAAAACTATTTAATTCTATATTTAATTGCTAAACCATAAGAACAACAGTTATATTTACAATTTTCGTTAAAAATAAAACAAATTTTTATATAAGTTTTGCTAAATTATTGCAACAATTTAAAGATATGTTGACAAAATAATCTCTAACACGTGCCACTTTTTGTACCCCTTACTTAATAATAAAACTCTATAAATTATTCAAAAGAAAAAATCCCTTAAAATTGCTCAATCTATTGTACACTTGTTTAAAAATAAAAACCGGCAACAAGTTGTTGATTTCTACAAAAAAAGGACAAAACATTTTTACTACCACGCTTCGCCGCATTACAAACTGGCGCCTAAAAGTATGTGTAAAATTTTTATGAATGAAAACATGTGTTAAGCTTTGTTGGTGTGTGTGTGTGTGAGTTTATACATGTCTGCCTGCGTTTTGTCTGTCTTTTTGCATTTTTTTCTGTTGTTGCTTTCTGTCTTGCTGTTTTTGTATTAAGAAACTTATAAAATGTTTTGTCTGCTTTTAGGGATTTAAACGTATTTATATGAATTTAGTCTTCTTAGCGCTTTTGGCGCGTTCAAACGTTTGGTGTTATAGAAATTAAACGATGTGTTAAAAAATACATATGAAAAGAAATCTTTAAAAAAATGCCGACGGTTAAGAAGTGAAAAAAATATAAATTTGTTAAAACTATTATTAATAAAAAAAAATTATATAAAAAATAAAATAAAAACTAAATATATTAATTACAATCTGTCAGTTTTACGAAACTGTCGAAAAAGTACAAAGTACATTTTATAAAAAAGATGTTTTAAATGTAATGAATTTAAAAAAAATTATAAAGAAAGTTCTCTTTTAAAAAAGAGTCTATTATTTTCCTAAAGTACTTTTTTATACCTTTAACACAAAGTACTTTTTTTCCAAAATATTTAAAATGCAAAAATACCAAGTTTTTTTTCAAAAAGTACTTTTCTGCTACTTTTTGCAAAAAAGTACTTTTTTTTAAATGTACAAACAAACCAAATTTAGAAAAATGTTCTTTTTTGTTACCTTTTGAAAAAGTACTTTCTTAGATAGTACTTAAAAAAGTACTCTTTTACCTTAAATGTTTTGGTTTGCTATTCTTTAGATTTTCTTAAACAAAAATTTTATTTCTTAAACAATTTTTTATATATTCTCTTTTTATCTTATATAATAACAAATTTTAATATGTTTGCCTACTTCTATGCATAATGATAAACGTTTTGAAATAGTGTAGCATACATTCGGGAGAGATGAATAAATCTAAATTTGTTCGCCAGAATTTGATTATGTTGGTTTATATTAAAATGTAAAACTAGTTAGAGGACACTGAGTTGAACAAAAATGCAAAATCATCATAAAAAAAATTATTTTTTTTTTTTTTTTTTTAATAAATTTAAAAAAATTTTTAAAAATTAAAACTTTTTCAACAAGTTATATACAAGCTTTAGGCAAATAAATCTCACGTTTTAATGCATTTAGCATCAAAATTAAATAACTTAACAAACATTTCAATAACCTCTAACCAAACCCATGAATAAATAGAAAAAAAAAGTAAAATGCACTTTTTCCTTGTTTTACCCTAAAACTTTTGTTGTAAATACACTTATATTGCAAAAAAAATTACAAAAAAGGCAGTCTATGTTCTTCGCTAAATGGCAATTGTTTGGCAGTAACAAAAGGCAAAAAAACAAACCTTCCAGGGAAAATTTTAAACACTATAGTGGGTAAAAGACAAATAAAAACTACTTTTTTATTCATAAGACCTCTTTAACAAAACAACAGTAATAATTGCGTAGTATACTTTTAGGCAGTTTTGTAATAAGGGTGATGAAACCAGGTATGGATAATTCAGTAAATTTTCTAATTTTTGATAAAAGTTTTATAATCCACTATATAGTCTAGTCTGTAATCTAGACTATATAGTCTAATCTATAGTCTAGTCTAGTCTATAGTCTAGTCTATAGTCTAGTCTATAGTCTAGTCTATAGTCTAGTCTATAGTCTAGTCTATAGTCTAGTCTATAGTCTAGTCTATAGTCTAGTCTATAGTCTAGTCTATAGTCTAGTCTATGTCTAGTCTATAGTCTAGTCTATAGTCTAGTCTATAGTCTAGTCTATAGTCTAGTCTATAGTCTAGTCTATAGTCTAGTCAATAGTCTAGTATATAGTCTAGTCTATAGTCTAGTCTATAGTCTAGTCTACAGTCTAGTCTATAGTCTAGTCTATAGTCTAGTCTATAGTCTAGTCTATAGTCTAGTCTATAGTCTAGTCTATAGTCTAGTCTATAGTCTAGTCTATAGTCTAGTCTATAGTCTAGTCTATAGTCCTATAGTCTAGTCTATAGTCTAGTCTATTAGCTAGTCTATAGTCTAGTCTATAGTCTAGTCTATAGTCTAGTCTA